TACAGTTCCCGATGCACTCCACCAGGGGTGTGAGGGAAGCGCGATCAAGGGAGGACGTCATATGATGCCCTCCCAGAACTGGCCGGCCACGGTGAAGCCGTCATACGGCTATCTGCGGTCGGTAAGTGGTTAAGTGACAACTTTGTGGAAAAAAAAGAAATCTTCCATGGACTCAATATGCCTCTCAGCAGATAGTCTAGGGTGTCTACTTTCTGAAAAGGGGTCATTTGAGGGTGTTTGTACTATCCTGGTATTTTAGCACCTTAAGAAATGTGATGAGCAGTCAGAACATAAAAGCTGTGTAAATTCCAATATCTATACCATAGTTTGCAGATGCTATAACGTTCACACAAAGCAATCAATATAGACTTGGGATTTTTTTTTTTTACCAAAGACATGTAGCAGAATACATTTTGGCCTAAATGTATGGCGAAATTTCAGTTTATAGGATATTTTTTTTATAACAGAAATGAATAAATATTGGGTTTTTTTTCAAAATGTTCAGTCTTTTTTTGTTTATAGCGCAAAAAAAAAAAACCCCAGAGGGGATCAAATACCACCATAAGAAAGCTCTATTTGTGTTAAAAAAAGGACATAAATGTCATTTATGCACCGTATTGCATTACCGCGCAATTGTCAGTTAAACTAGTGCAGTGCTGTATATAAAAAAAATGGAGTAAATTGCAGTATCTATACCATAGTTTGTAGACGCTATAAACTTTCACACAAAGCAATCAATATACACTTATTGGGATTTTTTTTACCAAAAACATGGAGCAGAATACATTTTGACCTAAATTTATAACCAATTTTGAGATTACTATATATATTTTTATAGCTGAAATTAAAAAGCATTGTTTTTTTTTTTTTTTTAAATGTTTGGTATTTTTTTGTTTTATAGTGCAAAAAATAGAAAGTGCACAGGTTATCAAATACCACCGAAAGAAAGCTCCATTTGTGGGAAAGAAAGGACGTAAATTTCATTTGGGTTCAGCATTGCATGACCGAGCAATTGTCTGTTGAAATAGCGCAGCGCCGAATAGCTAAAAAAGGCCTGGTCATTAAGGGGGCAAATGGTTAATTAAACATTATTTTTTAAGATTGTGTTTTTAAACGGATGGAGTATATCCAGGGGCGGACTGACAACTCATGGGGCCCCCGGGCAATAGGGGATCATGGAGCCCCTGTGTCCTTGCCCAAACTCAAAAAAAGCCTATGAAAAAGGTACCAGAGGCATCTCATAGGGCCCCCTACTGACCCCAGGCCCTCAGGCAGCGCCTGAGTTTCCAAATGGTCAGCCTGCCACTGAGTATATCTATAACTCTTTATATTACATATTTGTTTTAAAAGTAAACATCTATTACAGGGGCAGCCATGACTAAGGATTCAGGGACCCTGATGGGTTTCTAAAGGGACAGCACAGCAGAAGCTGTATACCTTCAGACTCTCTGACTGTAACTCAGTAACCTGAGCAGACACAGAGGAGGCTGCCATTGCTAATTTTTTTCTAAAAATGCTGTTCGGCAGATCTTTTGTCTTCATTCCAGAACAACGAAGTGCACAGACCAGATATGACCTCACTGACTTCAAGCTTGCCTCAAAAGTATTGAGAGAGCCAGGAAACCAGCATTTTCAGATGCTGGTCAGCAATGCAACCTCTGTACTTCACTCAGTGCAGGTTTCTATTAAGTATGAAATTCAAGCTCTGAGAGTTACTGTAGGAGTATACAAGCCGTTAGAGGAATGCCCAGGAGACAAAGAAGCATTGTGCGATAATTTTGATCCTGTTGCTGTGGTAGCACACAGATATTGTAGAGTTCCCCTTTAAACTCTAACACTTCTAGCAGCCTGTGTTTGTGAATGCAAGGTTTTTGGCTCATCTTCCCCCTTATTTCCTGTGAGTATTATGTGTACTGGTTTGTAGCTGGTATTTCTTATCTGCAGCTGCTGGTCAAGGTTATTCTGTAGAGTTTAAGAAGCCTTTTGAGTGTATAGAAAGTAAGAAAGGAATGTATGCCTTGTGACGTAATCGTTGGAATATACGCTTGTAAAAAGTTTTCTATAACTCACTTAGCAGGTAAGAGCACGAGCCATCTGTTGATTCAAAACAGCGCTGTTTTTAATAAATCAGTTGTTTCCTTCAGAAGTCTGTGTCTGGAGTTTTCTCTGGTTTGCCAAAATTGCTACTACATCCCTATGTCAACATCCGCTCTGGGACATGTATACATGTTTGTTTCTGACATTTTCCTTTCCTCTAAGCTCCCATAAGGCTAAACAACAGAAATATTTAAAAGACACAAACTAATGAAGATTTCTCTTCATTTATACGTCACTGAGTAAATACCTGAATTTGGCCTGGTATCAGCCTCTGGTAGTCCCTTTACATCAGTCTGGGACAGGGAGACGCAACACAGGAAGCCAATTTGTTGTCTCATGTGCTGACAAGAAGCATGTTGATAGGAGGAGAGAGCAAAGTGAGAGATGAGCTCTTAGGCTACTGCTTCTTCTTTTATTGACCTGTCACAAGCTGGGGGAAAGACAAGACCTGTAAGGGCTAGCACAAGTCCGATGTCCTGGCACTAGAGAGTAATGAGTCCATGTTTGCTCTGGAGGTAAAGAGGTAACATTGTGGGGAGCCAGAAAATCTTGCTGGTGGGGGTTGCAGGCCTCAGGAGGGGGTGGCTCACTGGGAGCCCCCATCTTTCAGGCCCTTTATATAGCTGCTGTGGGTATTGATGTTCTCCATGTAACATACAAGCCGCATACAATGACTTCCATTCTCTCTGAGCTCTTCTACAAGAACCATGTGATGTGTTGTGTTTCATCTGTGACTCCATTATGTTCTTTCTGATTTCTACACCAATAAGAATACATATCAGATTTCTCTTTATCTCTAATGTCTGATCTCTGTATTGTTTTTAGGAGTTTGCCAGAAATTCAGGTCAACCAAAGTTCCCGTGCTCTATGTTTTAATTGGACCAGCAATATCAGTACCTCTGATCATCATCTTTAGTGCTCGTCTGGCTGAAAGTGGTAAGTCTGATTTTCTATCAACTCTACAGAATTTCTATCAATAAGTAAACAAGGCAGAATCTGACAAGGAAAATCCATATTTCAAAGAACAATTCCAATCCTACAAAATTTCTGCTGCTAATAGTACAATGTGTGTGTATTCTTGTATATTCTAAGAAGGATGAGGAAAGGCTACATCCAAAAAAAATGCCTCTAGTGTGTATAGAAGCCGGCAGATTGTGCCACCATTTTCATTTTTCTGTCTTGGAGTTCTTAAGCTGGCCATACACTAGTAGATTCTTGAACAAATATTCTCAAAGACATTCATATGAAAATTCTCAGAACATTCGATGACTTGATAAATGTTGTTCAAAAGTACTTCAAAATGTTGCTTGCTTTTACCATTCTGTATTGGAATGAGTGGAGTTTCCAAACAGAAACCACAATCGCTATTAGAAATTTGTTCGTTCAAGAATTTTGCATCGTGCATCTCCAGATTTATTCATCACTTAGGTTGAAAACAAACATTAAAGTGTTTTTAAGAAAAGCGCCACACCCTCAACTCCAAAGCAGCAAATTCCCAACTCAAAAAATCAAGAATTTTTTGCTTAATCAAATAAATAAAAGGAATGCGCTAATTGAGTAAATAATACAAAGTGAATATAAGAAAAAATATAAAATAAAAAATGTAAAATAAAAAATTATGCAAAAAAAAGTGTCCATAAATAATGTCCAAAAAGATTTTTAATTAATGTCCACACTGTGTTTAAAACCACCACCAAAAAAAATTGTTTTTAAATCACCCAACCGAGCTCAAAAAATGAACAAATACCTTTTTGGCTTTAACACAGTGTGAACATTAATTAAAAATCTTTTTGGACATTATTTATGGACACTTTTTCTGCATAATTTTTTTATTTTTATTTTAAATTTTTTATTTTATTTTTTTTTCTTATATTCACTTTGTAATATTTACTCATTTAGCGCATTCCTTTTATTTATTTGAAAACCAACATTGATTTGACCCCATTAATGCTTTGAAAATTGTACCAACATTCTTAAAAAAAAAATAAAAAAAAGTAATTTCTGCTAGTGTATGCTTTTGTTTTGTCTTCTTCTTGTTGATTTTAAATGGTATCTAATCCCCCCCACCAAAAAAAAAATATATATATTTATTTATTTATTGTAGCTTACCAGCCCTTAGATGTGGTGGCTACGTCAGTTTCCTTTGTCCAGTTTTTTTCCCTTTATTTTCACATGGTGATCCTGCAAGTAACACACCTCCTGCTGTCACTTCGGCCCTGATTTACTAAGACTTGAGTCTACCAGCAGACTCTGAACATTCAGGCAGACTCCGTTAAATCAATCAAGACCTGTCAGTCTTCTGAGCGTTGTCTAGCAATCTCATTGACGATTGTCTACTTTGCAATTAGTAAATGTGGAATCGCATCTGGCAAATTTTTTTTAGGTGCAATACCGGATATGTTCGCTAGATGGCGCACAAGTGCGGGCTTTGTCCCTTTAGCGCAGTGATGGCGAACCTTTTTGAGCCCGAGTGCCCAAACTGCAACCCAAAACCAACTTATTTCTTTCAAAGTGCCAACACTGCAATGAAACCTGAATATCGAGCTTTTGGTTTAGAAAAAACAAACTCGTACAGTAGTGCAAACTAATTAACAGTACAGGGATGACCAGAGACTGCGGACACAGTACAGGGATGACCAGAGACTGCGGACACAGTACAGGGAATGACCAGAGACTGCGGACACAGTACAGGGATGACCAGAGACTGCGGACACAGTACAGGGATGACCAGAGACTGCGGACACAGTACAGGGATGACCAGAGACTGCGGACACAGTACAGGGATGACCAGAGACTGCGGACAGTACAGGGATGACCAGAGACTGCGGACAGTACAGAATGACCAGAGACTGCGGACACAGTACAGGGATGACCGGAGACTGCGGACACAGTACAGGGATGACCAGAGACTGCGGACACAGTACAGGAGATGACCAGAGACTGCGGACACAGTACAGGGATGACCAGAGACTGCGGACACAGTACAGGGATGACCAGAGACTGCGGACACAGTACAGGGATGACCAGAGACTGCAGACACAGTACAGGGTATGACCAGAGACTGCGGACAGTACAGGGATGACCAGAGACTGCGGACAGTACAGGGATGACCAGAGACTGCGGACACAGTACAGGGATGACCAGAGACTGCGGACACAGTACAGGGGATGACCAGAGACTGCGGACACAGTACAGGGATGACCAGAGACTGCGGACACAGTACAGGGATGACCAGAGACTGCGGACACCAGTACAGGGATGACCAGAGACTGCGGACACAGTACAGGGATGACCAGAGACTGCGGACACAGTACAGGGATGACCAGAGACTGCGGACACAGTACAAGGGATGACCAGAGACTGCGGACAGCACAGGGATGACCAGAGACTGCGGACAGTACAGGGATGACCAGAGACTGCGGACACAGTACAGGGATGACCAGAGACTGTGGACACAGTACAGGGATGACCAGAGACTGCGGACACAGTACAGGGATGACCAGAGACTGCGGACACAGTACAGGGATGACCAGAGACTGCGGACACAGTACAGGAGATGACCAGAGACTGCGGACAGTACAGGGATGACCAGAGACTGCGGACACAGTACAGGAGATGACCAGAGACTGCGGACACAGTACAGGGAATGACCAAAGACTGCGGACACAGTACAGGGATGACCAGAGACTGCGGACACAGTACAGGGATGACCAGAGACTGCGGACACAGTACAGGGATGACCAGAGACTGCGGACACAGTACAGGAGATGACCAGAGACTGCGGACAGTACAGGGATGACCAGAGACTGCGGACACACAGTTACAGGGATGACCAGAGACTGCGGACACAGTACAGGGATGACCAGAGACTGCGGACACAGTACAGGGGATGACCAGAGACTGCAGACAGCACAGGGATGACCAGAGACTGCGGACAGCACAGGGATGACCAGAGACTGCGGACAGCATAGGGATGACCAGAGACTGCGGACAGCACAGGGATGACCAGAGACTGCGGACAGCACAGGGATGACCAGAGACTGCGGACAGCACAGGGATGACCAGAGACTGCGGACACAGTACAGGGATGACCAGAGACTGCGGACACAGTACAGGGATGACCAGAGACTGCGGACACAGTACAGGGATGACCAGAGACTGCGGACACAGTACAGGGATGACCAGAGACTGCGGACACAGTACAGGGATGACCAGAGACTGCGGACACAGTACAGGAGATGACCAGAGACTGCGGACAGTACAGGGATGACCAGAGACTGCGGACACAGTACAGGAGATGACCAGAGACTGCGGACACAGTACAGGGATGACCAGAGACTGCGGACACAGTACAGGGATGACCAGAGACTGCGGACACAGTACAGGGATGACCAGAGACTGCAGACAGCACAGGGATGACCAGAGACTGCTATGGACAGCACAGGGATGACCAGAGGACTGCGGACAGCATAGGGATGACCAGAGACTGCGGACAGCACAGGGATGACCAGAGACTGCGGACAGCACAGGGATGACCAGAGACTGCGGACAGCACAGGGATGACCAGAGACTGCGGACAGCACAGGGATGACCAGAGACTGCGGACAGTACAGAGATGACTGCTGACCTTTGGGGAGGTGGGGAGCAGGTACCTGAATTTGACTTCCGCAGAGTTTTTTTTTTTATATCTTACCTGTTCCTCGATCCAGCCGCGCACTGTCTTCCGGCTTCTGTAGCGTGGGCGTCGTCGGACAGCCGGGATGCCCAGTGCGCATGCTAGCGCGAGAAGCGCTGCGCTTTGTGATTGGTCCGGCGGCTTCTGGGATCTGTCATGTGTCCCAGGTACCGCCTTACCATTCACAAAGAGCACTGCTTCTTGTGCATGCGCACTTGGGACCCGGCTGTCACGCACAGTACAGCCGGGAAGACAGCGCGCCGCTGGATTCTCCTGGCGTGCCCACAGATGAGGCTCGGCGTGCCGGCTGTGGCACGCGTGCCACGGGTTCGCCATCACTGCTTTAGCGTTTTCCTGTTAGCAAAAGAGAATACTTAGAATGTAACATAATTAGTACACCTATATTATTTTTTTTTTTTGCTGTTTTTTGCTCCAAAATTATCAGACAACTAATGCATTTACTAATGAATGTCATACATTTATTTTCAAATGTTAAACATTTTCACACTTATATCTTAAATAATTTGGATAGTTCTAATTTCCCAATATAATGATATACCTTCATTCTCTTTAATCATGTAACTATTCTATGTTAAAGTCAAGTGCAGTGCTATAAATGCATGTGATCAATAATGATGTAAAATGGTAAATGGTGCTAATATAAGTTCATATAATCATTCCTGAATAATGGAATGTCCTTCGTGTGAGAGTACCAACTCAGAGAGTGCCTATGAATGGCACGTGTGGATTCTCCGTGACGGACAGTAGTGCATGAACTCGTGAAAGATAAACCACCCTTGGGACTGGTCTACACTCACCAGAACAAAAGAATTAATGCGCATGGGTTATACACATCACACATCTGGGGGTGCAGCGGTATGCTGGCAGCTATGGGTTAGTCATCCAGCTCCAGCCATCCATCCATCCATCCATCCGGGTGGGTGCCCAAATGGCCCTGGAGAGGAATTAGCTCAGCCACAGGAGCCAGAAATGTGCTTAATAGTGCAGTACACTGTCACAAGGGTGGATGACCTTTCACGAGTTCATGCACTACTGTTCGTGGTTATATTTATCTTGTGTAATACCATTTTAGTAGTCTATATAATTTGACCAGCGCTCGCTTATCATTTTTAAACAATGTAAATATTCTACATTGTAGCTCAAAAACTGTGTCTCCCACAGTGGTTTAGTGGTTAGAGCTCAGAACTTACAGCACTTGGGTCATGGGTTCTAATCCCAGTTTGCATGCTTTCCCTGTATGAATGTGTTTCTGCCAACACTCAAAAGACATGCTGTTAGGTTCATTGGACCTTGTTATATGGCTGAGTTTCTGTCCTTAGATTATAAGCTCCTTGACATTTATGAACGTTAAAAAAAATGGAGATCAATTTTTTGGGTTGTGTCAGTGCCAGGAATATTGATCAATTATGATTTTGCCTAATGACTAGAAAGTGGATGAATGTTACCTGCGTCCTGTTCTTCTGCCAATTAGGAAATATGCAAGTTTCATGCTGTGTATATTTCATTGTAACATTTTTCTCTTCTTTTAAATCTGTCTCCTTATACAACTTGACTTCCTCCCCCAAATCATCATCACCTGTCCCATATGCAAATCTATGGATCACCGCCCCACTCTTTTTAACTATTTACTGATCAAGTGAATGTGTCTCATTTTCTATCAGCTACAGCTCAGATCTCACATTATTATACGATTGCTGATTGTATCTCACCACTAGTCTGATTGAATTCACAATTCCTGGTCAGTCCTGTTCCCTTACCTCTAATAATCTTTAGGACCAGTTCACACTACATGTGTTTCAGTTGCTTTTTTCGGCATCACAAACGAACAGAAAGAAGGTTATATGGTTGTCAATGTCATAGTTCACATCAGCGCTTGCATTTTCAGTGCATTGCAGATGCTGTAAAAAAAATTGACCACGCTGCATTGTTTCTGCACAGAACTGTACTGGAAACATTGAAACGTCCTTGAATGTACTAAAACACACATGTCCCTAATTAAATTGAATAAAAATAAAGAAGAAAAAAAAACTGGAAGGGATACAAAAATGCAATGCAATGTGTCCAAAAACGCATCCAAAATGTACTGGAACACACTAAACATGCATGCCAAAAGGGCATGCAAAAACGCACCAGGAACACATCTAGACTGTTTTTATAGTGTGAACTGGCCCTTAGGACTTGTTCACACCATTGGTGGTGCAGAAACGCATGCAAGAACACATATTTTCCAGCACAGCAAAGAAATGCAATGCCCTTTGCAGATGTGCGCGGTTAGGTGCACACACTTTCAAAAATAATATGCCTGCAGTATTTTTGAATGTTCCCACACATTAGGCAGGCCATTGAAATTAACGAGCTGAGGAAAAAAAAAAAAGTAAAAAATGCCCCATTCACACAGGTCCTCTGCCCTGTAGAGCATGAATGAGTGGGATGTTCATGTAGCTAGAGCCACCTGTTACACTATGGGGACACAGCAGCTGTATGAACACAGGTTTTTAATCTGACAGGTGTGAAGGCGTGGGGAAGTGGCCCTGAATGCTCACTGTCTGTGTTCAGGGCTGTACACCTGCACCCATATGCTTGTCAAATTATGACCTGCAGCATTTCCATAGTGTAACATAGGTTGCCTGCAAACGGCGATAGCCACAAAAAACAAACCACTGATTCCCACTCTACAGGCCCACACAGCACCCATGAGCCCCAAAACCTCAATTACACCTCAATTACACACACAGCTTTATTTATGAACTCAGTACAGTTTTTATCATTTAGATTTCACAGGAATATGGTTGGGATTATGTCCATTAATAATTGGTTTTAGTGTATTTTTACCATAAATATAATTTGGATATTTTTCTCTGGCGGTGGGGGGCTGTCAGGTATGCTGTACGGGGCCCCATGGTATCTAACAGTGGCCCTGGGTGTATGCTTGTGTCTGTACCACCTGTATAGTTAGGAAGAACCTTGAACCTCTGCTATGTACTTCAATGGATCTAGGAATTGGACATGTTTTCAACTGAAAATACAACAATTATTAGTAATGTTTCCCCAGCAAATGAGGATCAGCTCCTCGGTGGAGAACGGCGATCTCGCCAGGTCCAGATGTGGTTTGGAATTCCACAAAAGAACAATTCACAAAACTAAAAAATAGACTTGCAAATTACCACTAAACTCTCCTAACTACACTCCCTCCTCTCTCCACTCACACTCCCCACTTCCACGTGTGTGCAAACGTCCTTCCGCAAACGTCATGACATATTTCCGGTATGACAGCTGCTCTAGCGCCTCCTCCAACAGCCGTCTTGGCGTTTATTTGTGCACCATAGCAATTTTACATGCGGCTCCATTGTGTATATGACATTCGCAAATATATGTTTGCAGTTCTATTGTAGATTTGGCATTCGTGAATGTATGCTTGCAGCTATACTGTGTATATGACATTGGCGAATATATATTTGCCAGTAAAGGACCAAAGTCAACATAAATTGGGGGCCCAATTTATTACTGTTAAGAGGATTGTAGAAAAAGAATAGCTAGCTGCACATTGAACACGACCTATTCATTGGTACAGAACATGGTCTTGTGGTGCAATAGGGGGCTTTTGGTTTGTTATTTTGGACATACTTGCACATGTGCACTCTAACAAGGAAGATTTGGGCATATTATATAGCTAGCAAAAATAAGTGTTAGGGGTGCGAGTACATTTCAGATACTTATATAGCGCTGTCAATTTACGCAGCGCTTTACATGTAGATGTGGTAAATTCACAACAGTCCCTAACCCTCAAGGGGCGTACTAAGAGCTCTAACTTACATTCATACATATACTAGGGCCAATTTTGACAGGATCCAATTAACCTACCAGCATGTCTTTAGAGTGTGGGAGGAAACCAGAGTACCCGGAGGAAACACAGGCACAGGGAGAACATGCAAACTCCAGGCAGGAGGTGTCGTGGCTGGGATTCGAACCAAACAACCCTAGTACTGCCAGGTGGAAGTGCTAACCATTTAGCCACTGTGCAACATTCAACTAGAACATGAAATAATCCCCCCAAAAAATACATAGTACAAATGTTTAT